ATTTTTATGTAGTTACTATCTCATCGCTTTCCTGTAAGAAAGGTGATTTACTGTTCGGTAAAACTTCGGATAGAATTTTTATTGAAAGTATATTCAGATATATTCTCTTTTCTCCAAAATGTTTTTTGTAATCTCAAATTTATTATCATGTGAAGATTTTATGGGGTACTTGAGAATAGTAATACTGGGTTTGTATTTGTGGTGGTTGAAAAATTACGTTAAAGCAATAATTCTCAACTCAAATGATCAGGTATCAAACAAATACAGAATAAATAACAACAAATACTTTATTTAAATGCTTTGATTAGATTTTATGAAAAACAGGACTGTGACATTATATTCAACACATCAATACTTTTATTTTTTTCCTGTGATCCCAAAGGAAAAGATTAGGGTTGAAGACAGTAGATGATGTTTTCCCATTAGCTGGAAATTGATCTTATGACTTGAACTACTGGAACACATTGTTACTTTAGCAGTTCATGAAACTCCTCAATAAATAGAAATTAGATTCCTTCTCTTGTGTTCTGTGGGTAAATCACTTTTTTAAACCTATGGAATTTCTTCCTACCTTTGAGGATAACGTAATTGACTTCCAATTCAAGTTCATAAAGTTGTTTGCTGTTTTTAAAGCTCCCCCCCCCGCAGTGGATTGAGTGACACATTAGGAAGATAAGAAAGAAATCCAATTTTAAATAAATGGAGAAAAATCGTATTTGCATAGAAAATAATAAAACATTTTTCATTATCTTTGTTCTGCAGCTGTAGTGCTCTCTTGCACAAAAGGCATGTATTTAGTGAATGTGATGTTTCTGAAGAGAAAATGTATTTATGCTGAAATAATGGTGATATTTCATGGTATATGTATTTAAGTAGGAAAATCTGTAAATAATATTTGTCCTACATTTACCTTGCCTTTATAAGGCAATAGCCACACAAAAGCATTTGCTCTTTAAACGCTGTTTCAGTAGAAGTCAGTATTATTCTATTGCTTTGAGTTTTTTCAACTATATATTCCATTTTTGTCCTGATTGATACATACTGTAATAATTCCATGAATGTTTTACACTTTCACTGAAGAGGCAGTCCTGACCACACAGTCTTACTTGTGTTGGCCCAACCATGCATATGTGGGCAAGGTGAAACATCTAAGGGAATACATCCAGATTAAAAGCTAGCCTGGCTAAAAATAAAAGCAAGTTTTAAGCTGCATGCATTCCCTCATCTGGTTCGTGGTGCAGCCATGTGAAAACTGGTGCCAGTAGCGATGATAGCTGAAGAGTAAGCAGTGAGGGGAGGCCAGGGGTGCCTCTTGTGATGGCAATGTCAACTGATGTCACTTCAATGTATGTGTGCGTCATGCACAGGGTATTGATGTGTTCTGTGAAGAAAACCTGCTGCGTTTAAGCTCCTGAGTTCGGGTGTCTCCTTAGAATGTGTCCTTCCTCCATGCCAGAGCAAGACCTGGGTACACGGTGTTTCTCCTCCTTATCTCACCTTTCCTGTCGTTCAGTGTAGACCAGCAATGAAGCACTGAGGCTGTAAGAAAGTCATCTGCGACGTTCTTTCAATCACTGATCTGGTTAACAGCATTGTTAAGATTTTTGCATTGTTAACTTTTTATACAAAGTTTTTGCTTGTCCTCATTTTAATACAGTCAATGTCATCTAAATATATTTTGGATTTGCTATACGAATTCTTGCGGATCCCTGTCTTCAGAAATGAAAATCTCAAATCAATTGGCATGCGAGTAGTTTGTGTGTTGTTCATTGTTTGCCACTAGGGGACACTGTTGACCGCTACATTTCTGTGCAAAAACGGTAGCTGTAGTAGAAGACATAAATGTATTTTTCATTTTCTGACTGGAGGCACCGTTTTCATAATTCTAAGCTCTTCCCTGATCAAAGAATACTTAATCAATTGTTTATTTTTAAGAACTTTTAGACTCAAATTAAGTGTTTCCTGCAGTGATTTACCAAATCAGAATCTTGCTGCAGTTACAATTCTATTACAGTACCTATTATTAATGCTTAAGAAATAATATACTGAATTGTTCATACTCTCATTAGACCTCATTCAAATACCATTAATCTTTTCTGGGTATAAGGTATAATGAACAATGGGAATTGAGTGTCTCCATCATTTAACGAATGGAGGGTAATTTGGGTACAAGTGGACATCATTCTTCTATAGAGTACTAGGAAAAGTTGACAACTGGTTAGGTACTGATTATTTGCCTGGTCGTTGTGTATAAGAAGTAATTGTAACAAGTTGCCCCAAAAATGATAATACACATTGGAAAAACATAATCTTCCCCCTCCCCCCCAAAGGATAATATGTTTTAATTATGAGCTTGATGTAAATTACTTATTTAGTTTATTTAGTAAACTTCAACAGCTCTCTCTTCTAAATGCTTGTCCAGTTTCTCCTTGACTCGGTGTAAACCTTTGCATCCAGAGCATCCTTTGTCAGGGTTCCTTGCCAAGGAGGTCTGATACTTTTTGCATGAAGAACTCTCTCCTCTTGTTTGTTTTGAACATGGCTTCTTCAAGCTGCATTTGATGAATCTTGGTTGTTGTATTCAAAGAGATTGTAGACTTTTCATACCCACCGTATTCACTTACCACTTATTTTATAGACATCATTCACTTCCAAATTTTCTTTTTTTCCAAGTGAAAAAGTCCTAGGCAACTCGGTATTTCCAATTGCAGCAGCCATTCAATTCCTTTGAACATCCTTATTACTCTTCTGTAAACAGTCTTCAGCTGTAATCTATCTTCTTTTTGAGTAGGGCACACAGTTTTCTAAGTGTAGGCAAATCACTGATTTATACAGTGGGGTAACAGTGTTCTCCGTTCCTAACATATGGCTTGCTTTTTTGACCATTGCTGAGTGTTGAGGTGATATTTTCATGAGTTATCTTAAGGTGAGACTAGTGATGGTTAGTTAAGAGACTATTTTCTTTTTAGTCAATCTAGAACATAGCTTACATAGTTTAAATTTATCTATGTTGAATTTCATGTGTAACTTTAATGTTCAGTCACATGGTCAGACAAGAACTTGTTCTGTGGTTCTTCAAACCCGATCTTACTCTTTCGTCCATCCAGTAATTGCCTTTATCAGCAAACTTTATTCACTGCTCATCCTCTTTCAGGATCGTTAGTGTGTATGTTGAATACCTTGGGTACCAGCAGAAATCCCTGTGGGACTCCATGGGGGATCTCCCTCCCTTTAAGAAGTGGCCATTTACTCCTGTCTACTATTTCTTACTTTAACTTACAGTCAATTATTTAGCTATGCAAAGGCCTTCATTCTCTTGCTACAACAGTCAAGTTCCCTTAAAAGTCTTTGGTGAGGAATTTTTTTAAAAGCCTTGTGAAAATCCATGTCAGTGTATGGATCAGTTGGATCAACTCACCTTCAAAAAACTTTAACAGGTTTGGAAGACAGGCCTTCTCTTTATGAAAGCTATACTGATTTTTACGAGTAGCTGGCAATTATCTATCTGTTGACTAATTTTGTCCATTCTTATAGCTTCTGCTGGTTTTTCTGGTAGGAACAGAAGCATAGCAGGCCAGTAGTTTTACAGATCTTCCCTGGAACCTTTTTAAAAAGCTGATGTCATGTGTGACATTTGGGATGCAGAATAGGTTTTTTTTCCTGGTTTGTTTTGGGTTTGGATTTTTTTTGGTGGTGTGGTGTTTTTTTGTTTTTTTTTTTTTTTTAGCATGTTATCACTGAATTTCCAAAGAAGGTTATGCCCAGTCTGACTTCAACAGCTTTGGTTTCTCATAATGTCCAGTAGCTTGAGGAAAGGATTTACCCCAGTTAAAGCTGAGAGAGACATAACATTGCTTATAGTATCAGCATCAAATTACAGAAATAATTTAGCTGTCATACAATATCTGTATGCCATCACTGATGATAAAAATTTCAGTTCCATGATTGATAATGCTTAAAGTGGAACACATTGGTGTCCTAAAAATTCAGTGTTCCCTATCTAGAAATAAAGCCAGTCAGTAATGATGTACAGTCAGTGACAAGAGGCAAATAGTGCATATGCTGTCTTCCTTTTTTTTTTAGCAAAGTTCTGAGTACATTCAGGTTTTAAATAACAAGATTTTAAAGTTCTTCCAACATCTACAGCATAAACTAATGATGAAGAGATCACATTTTGGTTATTGCAGAACAAATGAAAAAAATTTCTGCTATTCATGATTTTAATAATAATATAACTTAAAAATGATGCATTTTGCTGACTTTTCCTTATTTAAAAGAAATAATTGGCTGCTATTCATGATTTTAATAATAATATAACTTAAAAATGATGCATTTTGCTGACTTTTATTTATTTAGCAGAAATAATTGGCTAAAATATGCTCCAAAATAATATATAGTTGTGGGTTTTGGTAGCTTTGTAGAATGATCTATAAAATTTTATAAAACTTAAATATTCAAATAATTATTTTTATAAAGCACTTTACAGTGTATTTTACTTTTGAAAGACAATGCAGAATGGCATTGGCAAAGGGCAAATTTTGATTCCTGAGATTTAATATAGTATAATCTATATTGTAACTTAATTTACTGGAATGTTATTTGCTTTGATATAAGCTTACTCTGATTAGTTCAAATGCAGTATAGTTTTTCTCCAGAGGTAACATGCAGTGTATACTGTGCTACACATTTTAGATCTATACAGTATCTAAAAATATGATGCATTATGCCTTTCTTTCAGTTTGTGACTCATACAGTATGTTTTCTGAGAAGAATGCAGAAATGTATCATTATTTGAGCTAATCTAACGCTTTCAATTTGACTGATGTCCCTTGTCATCAATTTTTTTCATTGAGCATCTGTTAAACATAAAAGTGTACACTGTATTTTATCAGAATGAGCGATCCTGACATCTGTAATTAAGCCTCCTCTGTTTCTGCTTTATTGGCTTTAACATCCCTGTCTAACAGATTGTACAAATTGCACATTTGTTTACAAAACAGGTCCAGATTGTTCTTTGAATGTCCCTTCCACGGAGTCTTACTGGATTCTACCAAATGTAAAGCCATTCAGCCCTTCTGTGGGACGGGCTTCCCATAAGGCAGTCCTCCATGGGAAATTTATGTGGGTGATTGGTGGATACACTTTTAACTACAGTTCATTCCAAATGGTGTTGAAGTAAGTGATTTCTCCTTTGTCATATCCCTTCTGATGTGGCTTTGGGAAAACTGGTCTTACCAGGGAGGTAGCCTCTATCCTGCAACTTAACTGAAAGTTTTATATGTTCTTAGATTCTTTATTAACGGTGTTATTTTCTGCTTGTAATTTTCTTATGATTAAAGAAAGTTAAAATATGGGTGATATCGATCTATATGTGATACTAATGTGTAATTTCTTCAGTTTTGTGAAAACTGTTGCCATACTTTGCTGCAAAGCATAAAAATGTTTGTGGTGATAAAACAGTAAAAGAAATCCATGTGCTGGTATTTGCAGATAGAATGCTATTTGTGTTATTGAAGTTAATTTATAGTTATAGGACACTGGTATTTAATACATGCACTTAGCCTGTTGGTGCCCTGCCAGTAGGGTTAGGCAGATCATCCATATTTCACTTCTTCGTATTTATGACAGTTTGTATGGTGACTTGTATATATGTACAGGCCCTAAATGTGGTAAATGCAAGTACTAGGATATGTTTATTAGCATGTTTGCTCTATTTTTGTCTACCTCTTGTTTTCTTCCACACCTTTGCAATCATCCAAAACAAATCCCATCATCTTTGGTGATTTCCTTTTCTATCTCTGTCTTCTTTTTTTTTACCTTTCTTCCATCTTGTTGTGTTTTAATCCATTAATGGATTAATTGTTAATTAAAATTTAAAGGAAATTAAAATCAACCATACAACTGAGAGGGATCTCAACAATAAGTTTTTGAAGTAGTGCAAAAGATAGCAGCGTAAGCAGTTCAGTGGTTTTTTTTCCTGGTGTGACTGATAACAGTGAGCTTAGCAATCTAGTTTCAGAACTTTCTTGTAAGTCTGGTGACTTTTATTACAGTCCTATTTTCTGAGATTGTTGATGGGTCCCTGAAAGAGCTGCTTCTGTTTTCATTGATGAACATTTAGTACACTATGACTAGTTAGTACACTTGTAACAGTACAAGTGATCATGTTACTGCTGCTAACAAATTACCACGTCAGATAAACAACAGTGACTGATCAAGTGTGCACACTTTGCCAAACAGAAGTTAGTTCAAACATACAAAAGTCCCTATTTCTCTGCAGGTAGAAAAATGTTTACTTTTCTATTTCTCTTCTAGCTACAATTTGGAAAGCAGTATATGGAACGTAGTACCTGTATCCAAAGGGCCACTCCAGAGATATGGACACACTCTTGCTTTATATCAGGTTTGGACTCTTCAGCATCCTATTTACTTAATTTCTTTGTGTGTGCTGTTAGCGATCTTAAAATGATTCATCGTGAACATAGATTTTTGAGGATAATTTAATTTCTAGTCCCTAAGCATTTTGTATTAGTGTCTTCTTCAGTACTTGGATCTATTGCACAATCTTTTTCCAAAAATTGTGTAATACCTCTAAGTCACTTACTAGCTGACCATAAACCCTCAAAGTTAAACCCACCAATAAGAGCGGGCTAATATAATTGGAACTGCAGTAAGGGAAGGTGAGCTGGGAGACAAGGGTGACTCCAGCGTGGGCGGTGCCCTCACTGACCAGGCAGCATCCCCAGGGGGTATGCCCCAGCAGGCAGAACTGGGTGCTGGTAGCAGGGTCCTTTGACAGCCCCAGACGCGGCAAGTGATGGCACAGGTCCAGGGATTATCCAAGGAGTCCAGTCAGGAGCAAAAGGAGACAGGGCCAGAGGCAGGACTGGAGAGAAGGCTGCAACGTATGCCTGAGGGGATGGTCCAGGAGACAAGTTACCTACATTGCAGGTCCAGGTCCATTCAGGAGGCAGGATCACAAGCAGTCAGGGACTGAGGGTCCATGGCTGAGCCTCGGGTGAGGCTGGCCAGGGCCGTTAAGGCCTGTTAATGACCTAAAAGCCATGACAGTAAGAAATAAATTTTTATTTGTTTTATTATTCATAGTAAAGAACCAGACCAGTATTAAAATACAAACTTTTGTTCTATAGTAAAATTTTACTGTAAGTTCAAATGAATATGAACTACTGGCAGTTTTGCTTCTACTGGTATCATGTAGTCTGCATGCTGCTTTATTGAAATCACTTGTAAAGATTTATTTCACTGTAAAAAAAAAAGGATTCTTTGTACTGATAGACTATACAGACAGAAATGATCTTTATTTAAAAAAAAATAAAAATTGCCTTTTGTTAATTTGTTAATTTTTGGCTAGTGTTAGTCATGTCTCCAAAATATAAAGGACCAGAATTGAATGCAGTGCATAATTTAGCCTTGTACAGATGATGGCAAACTTGTTAACTGTGACAGAGAAATACAGAATTTGTATCCCAAATTTTCAGTTGTTTGCATAAGACACCTCCAGTAGGGAAGAACAAAAAAGATTGTGTCAAGTCGGACCAGAGTGTTCATCTAGCCTAGTCCTGAATAATGGGTAACAGCGAATGCCTGGGGAAGAATATAAGAAAAAATTACAAGAACATATAGAAGCTTCCTCAGAATACTGTGCTAGTCTGCAGATGGGATTTTCTAAGATAGGATAGTATTTATGTGGAAAGATTATGAATCCATGTTTTATATATGGTCTGAAAATTTGGAAAAAATACTTATTTTAGCATTGATACCATCCTGTGCCTAAGAATTCCAGTGTATTTAGTGAAGAAAAACCACGTTTTGGGAAACTGGTACTAGCTGGTTTAGTTTTGATAATCCCTACTTCTTATACTACTTTCCATTTATTTTCTCTGTACCACTCATGATTTTCTGTAAGTCCATCATATCCTCTCTAATTTCTTTTTCACGCTGAAAATTCCTTGCATTTTTAATAATCCTCTAGAAGGAAGCTATTTCATACCTCAGATAACATTGTGTCATTGCCTCTACCTCTTCTAGTTCTGTTATATCCCTTCTGAGATAGGGGGAATCACAGTCTTTAGTGTATTGGTACCTCAGAGACTGATGTCATAGAATTAACAGTCTAATTTTTTCCTATTAATTCTTAATGGTATTTTAGCTTTTTGAAAGTCTGCTGTTTGCTTTGAACTGGTATTTTCACAGAACTATCAGTTATAACCTCAAGATCTCATTCTGGTCAATTCAAACCCCACCACCATATGTATGACTTAAAATTGTTTTTTATTTGTATGCATCACTTCACGCTTATCTATGTGAACTTTTATTTACCCTTTTATTTGTCCTTGTATTGCGCATTCAGTATTATAAGATTCTTCTGCAATTCTTTGCTTTTGACCATTGTCTCAGCTATTTTGAGTAACATAGTATTGTCAAAAAAAATTGTCATTTTTCCATTCATCCCTGTGCCAGATTGTTTTTGAGTATGTTGAACAAACAAATCCCAATTGTAGATCTCTGTGGGATACCACTAATGACCTCTATTAATTTAAGAAGTGAGCATTTTTTTCCCAAACTTTTCTTTATCAAATTATTTACCCTTGTGTTATCTGCTTTGCTCATCCCAGAACAGCCTAGTTTCTTTAAGGCATGAGGAACATTATCAAGCATCTTCTGGAAATTCCAGATAACTGTATCAACCAGACCTTTGATTCCTTCAGGAAAATCCAAGGATTTGCAAGATATAACTTCTGATTTCAGAAGTTGTTAGGCTTTTCCTCAGTCTGTGTGTCTTATCCAGCTGTTCACTGAATTCTGTCCATTCTGCCTGTTGCTTTTCAGTCTCTTGGTACTGACACATTTTTAAGCAAGGAGTTACACACTACAGACAGGGGTCAGCTGTTTTGTTCTTAAATTCCTTCAGAACTGATGCTGGTGACTTATTGCTGATTATTTTGTCAGTTTTGTGTGGTTTCTTTTTTTTTTTTTTTTTTTTCCTATAACCTTCTGTATTAATTTCTGCTATGGAAATACCTGTAAAGTCTACCATGAAGAACTCACATGGGAAAATTAACTTCATTTTATTGCTATGGCTTTATCGTCTCAGAATACTCCTTCAGACTGTCTGTTGGCACCACAAATTATCTAGTTGGCTGTATTTCTAATGCATTTGAAAAAGGATGTATTAGTCCACTTCCTATAACCTTCTGTATTAATTTCTGCTATGGAAATACCTGTAAAGTCTACCATGAAGAACTCACATGGGAAAATTAACTTCATTTTATTGCTATGGCTTTATCGTCTCAGAATACTCCTTCAGACTGTCTGTTGGCACCACAAATTATCTAGTTGGCTGTATTTCTAATGCATTTGAAAAAGGATGTATTAGTCCTTTATGTATAATGTTGCAGGCAGCTCATTAAGCTGTTTCATGGCTTTATATGTCTCTGCGTTTTAATCTGCTGGAGTTTTTGAACCTTCATTTTGAAGTATACTTTTTCTTCTAACAGTCTCTGTTATCCTCCTGTTAAGTTAAGCTTGCTTTATTTTGTTATTTGTAATGGGAAATTTTGTGGGTTTTTTTTTTTTTTTATAAATAGGAAGCATTCATTTGATCTGAGCAGATGTCCTTAAAATGTCTTGTCCTGGTTTCGGCAGGGATAGAGTTAATTTCCTTCCTAGTAGCTGGTACAGTGCTGTGTTTTGGATTTAGGATGAGAACAAAGTTGATAAGGCACCGATGTTTTAGTTGTTGCTAGGTAGTGCTTACACTAGCCAAGGACTTTTCAGCTTCCCATGCTCTACCGACTGAGAAGGCTGGAGGTGCACAAGA